AGGGAGAGAGAGGGGGGAGTCGAGTCCACCGCTTCGGACCTTCCATTTCGATTGTTTTGCTTCCTTTATTTGTTCACTATCGAGTTTTACGTTTTGGACGTCGCAGTAAATGTACACGTCCTTTCTAGTAATGATGACGCTCTCTCCTACTGAAGAAAATTTATTCTACCCCCTCTTCTTAAAAACTGTGCAAATTAAAGTAGCATTAAATGGATTTGTCACTTGTACACGTTTTTTTGGTTTGAAAGCTCTCCTCAATCAAAATCCTCCGAAAATGTGGTTTATTCATATTAAAATTTCCCAAAAATATGGTTTCCTCGAAAATTCAAAAATCTCACTAAAATTTGTATAGCATCAGGAAACAATTTTTTTTTTAGTTTATTGAATGATCATACAATCTGCCTCATGAAGGGCAACATTCAATAATATTAAAAAAAAAAAAAGAATCTAAATCGTTTTCAACGATTAATAACGATTAAACTTTGGAGGTCCGCAAAACAAACACACATAATCAAAATTCAAACCACACAATCCAAAATTCTTAGTATAATCATCAATGCTCCTTGGTTTATTTCAAATCACACCATACACACAGACATTAACATACCAAAAGTAAAATCCTACTTACACAACAAGTACACAGCATTTCATTCTTCTACACTCAATCATCCAAATCCACTCGTTCTATCTCTATCTTCCTCCCTGTTACCTGATGAGCCTCAACGACGACTAAGAAGGCAGTGGCCTAGAGATCTTCTGCTGGCAATTTAAGAATATAACAAGAATACAAAAAGATACAATAGACTCCAACACATTTGTTTGATGCGTTACAACGCAGTGGCAAATTTAATGAAAAAAAAATTATTTTCGAACACTCATGAGTGATCCAGTCGTTCAAAAAAAAAAAAAATCGTTACATATTTGCAAGCGGTCATCACACAATCCTCTTAGTCGGTTAATAATTAGGTAAATTCTCTTCCGAATATAATATTCATTCAATTCTACATTTAAAATAAATAAATATGACTCTGCAAATTTAGACCTCCAAGTGTATAGTTTTTCTTTACAGAGTTTCCGCTGATGGACGTAGAAGGAAAAAGAGGTGAAAAAAAAAAATGGTGCAACAAATTATTGTAAAAGTTGGCGAGCGGCCTCTTGAAAAAGGCAGGTCATTAAAGAACTAAAGGAGAGGTGGGGTTCCTGGGGTTTTAAATGAGCAACTTCTCTTACACAAAAGCGGGCTTTAAATAAAAAAATACCGAAAGGCTCTAGAGTAATGGCGGAGCTACAAAAGGGATCTTTAAATAAAAGGCCGATGGCTGCCTTTGGTAAATATATAGGAGGCAGTGAAAGGAGAGCTCGCTAATGAGGCGGCCATTTTGTCGAGTAGTAACCTACGCGGGGAGGTTTCTTTCTAGCTGATAGCTTTGGGGAACTCGCTCACTTGTTAAATTCTCTTCAAGATTGTTTTCCCATTTATTGTATTGTTCTCAAAAAACATCGTTCACAAAAATATGGCGAACAAAAAACACATACATATATGTTGCTTCGCTTCCCGTCTTTATTTCTAAAATAGGCAAATAATGTATTTAATATGTCGGAGAAGTTTTAAATATAAGCTGGAAAAAGTTTGAACGTGGTTGACACAATTTTCGTGCGGGGGATGCTGATTGGGTATGCTGTACTGTTAAGCGACACGGAAATAATCAAAATTAATTACAACAAGATTAATGAAAGCCGGTAAAGAACTTGGGCTCGAAATAAATACGGACAAGATAAAATACATGGTTAGGACCAAAAATGGAGACAATTTCGGTGTTATAGATATTGAAGGAAATAAGTTTAAACACGTAGAAAAGGATAGGTGTTTAGGATATAAAATAACAAAAAAAATAAAAAAAAAATTAAAGGGGAAGTTGAAACAAGGTTAAATGCGGAAAATACTTGATATTTTTCAGTTATAATAATTAATTGAAAGAAGAAATTATCAAAATTTTTGAAAAATGTAATGCCAATCTTATAAGTGTCTTAATCAATAAAATTTTAAAAAATTTAGTCTGAAAATGGAATAAAGTTGATTCCGAAAAATCGCGCACATATTAATAAAAGAAAATTTTGGGAGAGTAACTATATTTAGTTTTTCATATACTTTATATTAAAAACATCTCACTTAGAACTTATGAAAACACCATAGATTATATTCAATTACACATCCAGCAGTCTGTTCCATGCTTCTACACTCTAAAAATGGGTCCCCCTAAAAAATTTAAAAGCCCGTCAAAATTATTATGGGTATAAGGTAACTGAGTATTATTTCATGTCTTAGGGCAGTAAACACTATAACACTATAAATATAAATGGTTGGTAGTCTTCTATATCTACAAGCCTTCTCTATATACATAGTCCTGTCATAAATATTGTTACAAGGATATATATATATATACAGATTTCAACTGAAAAGTGAATTTTTTCAAAAACTTTATTAGAAAATAAAATGTATATCTATAGAGAGTAAAACAAAAAAGAAATTGCTCAAAATGTCCTCCTTTTGCCTAGACACTGGCATTTAATCTCCGTGGCCAATCATAAATAGCAGCACGCAGCACTTCTTGAGGAAAGCGCCCAATTGCTCGGACCAGAGATTGTTTGAGGCTTTCTAAGATAGGGAGTGCTCTGTGGCATGCCATCCTCTCCAGTTCGGACCAAAGCTGATAATCTAGTGGGTTGAGATCATGGCTTCCTGAGGGCCAATCCGAGGCAGAGATGAACTCTGGAATGTTCTTTTGCAGCCACTGCTGAGTTGACCTGGTCTTGCGAGCTGGAGCGGTATCCTGCTGGAAAACCCAATGCCTTCCAGCAAACAGAGTATCATTTAGAGGCTTGGCAACAGGTTATTATATCTATTTATAGTGCGGTGCATGAACATACGGATGATACTTAAAGGTTTCAAAGTGTTGAAGATCTCTGACCTACATTTTCCAACTCTGTGTAAAACGACCGGTTTTCGTTTTTTTTTTATCACCCCACTCAATGAGTGAAATAAAAATAAACCGAATTGGGATTATTATCCTGACATGTAAAGAAAATAACTTGATAGAGGTGAGGATTATCTAAATAATACCCAAGGATGTAAACAAAGTTCAACTTTTGTAACAGTATTTATGGCAGAACTAGATATAAGTTTTATACCTATATGGGGCTCTTTCTATCTTCATCTGACCGCAATTTTGTTATCCAGCGGCTATATTCTGGAAGACTTGTATTTTTCTCATCAGGCCTGTGGACATAGTCAATCTATAAGATCAAACCTTAGTATGAAATACTTCAGCACTTACTGGACTTCCAATTAATTACAAAAGACTCATATATATTAATATAATAAGGCCTATTTGGACTTACGGAGTTGAGCTATGGGGCTCCACTTAACCATCGAATTCCTCTCGTATCCAATCCTTACATTCCAAAATCCTTCAGAAAATTCTTAGTGCTCCCTACTTTGTTACAAATAAAACCATCCATAATGACCTTAATGTTTCTTATGTTTCACCCAATCCAGATACCTATCCTTCCATGAAAAACTTCAGGATCATCCAAAACCTCTCGTTTCTAACCTTGCTTCCTCTTTCCTGATAACCCTCCGAGGCGTCTAAAAAGAAGATGGTACCGTGATCTCCTAATGTTGACATATCATTAGGGTGATAACTACCATTGGGTAGTTACTCAACAAGTGTTTTCACGCCATTAAATCCATATGTTCAAATTTACTAAATGTATTTCTTTAATACAGTTGTAAATATCATTAACAAATAATAAAAAAATAAAATAAAAAAAGTATGAAATAAGACACGTTTTTGTGACGTGCTCCCGGACTAAAAGTAAAAGAACCTGAAATACAAAATATTCTTTTTTTTTTTTTCTTTTTTTTTTTAATAGTCTATTTCTTATATTATTTTTCTGTATATATTATTTTTCTGTATAATTTATTTTATTTACTGTACATAGAGTGTGAATGTGATCTGTGAACACTATTATAAATGTCCTTGAGACAGATTGTAATATTTTTCAATAAATAAGATTAAAAAAAATATCTATTTATTGAATAATAATACAATCAGCCACTGCTGGAGAGCTATAAGTATTAGGGCTAAAAGTTCTCATTCATAAAATATATACAAATAATAGAGAAATAAATATAAATATAAAAAACAAATAAATAATACTGATGAAGAAAGTAAATAAAAAAAAAGTAAACAAATAACATAAAATAGAAACTTCTAAACACCATCATACCTATATACAATATATATATATTCGCCCAGGAATCTCCGAGCCAGCCTTTTTCCAACAAATGTGGAAGGCAAAGCAAGACTCCAGGAGATCCCAGTGCCACTAGAGCCACAGACGCTCAGGACATGAGTGGAGAAGCTGGCCATTGCCAGGATTCCAGAAGCATATTTACAAGAGATCTCTGGGCCGCTGCCGTTTTAACCTTCGTGGAGGATTGTAGGGGTGAAGGGAGCTGGATAGGGATTGAGCTTGAGGATTTGGATGATGGGATGATGTCTGGGACAAATGGGATGTTAAGGTCACGGCGAAGGGTCTTTATTCGTGACATTATATGGGGCATTGGCTATTGTTCTTAGTACTTTGGACTGGAAGGATTGGATGCGTTTGATATTAGAATGTTTAGCAGTTACCCACAGTTCAAGTCCGTATGTCCAGATAGGTTTCAGTATGGTCTTATAGACAAAATATTCTAATGTTAATTTTCGGAATGGCACTCTACAATTTTATTTCAGCATAATAACCTGACACATGTTTCGTATTCATGGCAAATTTATACTTCTTTAACAACTGATAATTCTCAATAGAACAGTAGAAGTATTAACTTAATTTAAGGTTCTTTTGTTGGGATAGACAAGGCACACACGCCATAGCCCTAAATAGCTGCAGAGAGCTCGGAAAGAGTTCATTAGATGATATTACGTGTATAAAAGACAATGAGACAACGGTTATGGAGAGAGAAGACAAAGAAAGGAGATATCGTTAGCGGTGGGGGAGGAGGGGCTGTGGAGTGGCGATGGGTTCGTATAATTGACCACTTGGCTACCAGAGGGCTCTTCGCTCTGTCTCTAATTCTGGGGTCGGGGGTTTTTAAAGCCGTCATAACTATTATTGTTTTATTAAAAAATGTTAGCACTCTCTATTAGACCAAATATAGTTAACTTTTTAGCTATTAGTGTTGTCCAAATGAGAGACCGAGACGAGTCTTGGTCTTGCAAACTCAGTCTTGATCTTGCGCAAGACTCTCGTAACAGTCTTGCAGTTACCTATTAGCTTATTACTAGAGAGATATTACTGTAATTTTTTAGATATGAGAATCCTAACTAAGTCTGAATGAAAAATTAGAAGAATTATGTGCAAAATTATATTGGTTACACCAATTCTTTACATACAGTAACTAAAATTGTCAAGTATTAGTAACTATTTTGTGTCAATTTTAATTTTAAAAATCAATTTTGTTTTACCAGTCTTGGTCTTGGTCTTGCAAAGTGCATGACCAAGACCGATTTTGGGCAACACTATCAGGTACTGAGGTAAATGTACCTGTAATAGACATTAACTATATTCACAATATTTCTCACTTCTTTTTCGGTGCATACTATTTATTTTCAAGTTAATTTATTATCAGCCATATTTACACTAATTTTTAAAAATTTTTGTCAACTTAAAAAACTCGGTAAATAATCATACAGACGTGGATAATATGAATACTAGTTCAATTGAAAAATGAAAATATGAAATAAATTAGCTAATATCACGTAAAATAGATCCACACATAATATTGGGAAACATCATTGTATATGTTTATAATAAATAGTCTTCCCCTAGTCCTATAAGAACAACCAGTCACTGAATAGAAATGAGATGGGTGACTCATGAACAAGGTAATTTTAACTTATTTGAATCATTTAATAGGAAAGAATGGAGTGATAATAATGTTGTAAAATAATTAAAGGTGAACATGACAATAATAAGGAATTTTATTATGAGTAGACGCTTGCAATTCACATAAGTGAAAAGGACAGGTACATGGTGGGTATTTTAGGTATATAATAAGAATCTTTATAATTTGAAATATGTTAAAGTTAATATATGATTGTAAATGAAAATTTTTTTTAGACTTGAAAATGGCTCGACGAGCCGAAACGTCGTAATTGTGATGAGTAGTCATTAAGTAGACAAAATTTTTTAAAAAATGGTGTAAATATGGCTGATAATAAATTAACTTGAAAATTAACTATATTATTCGTATTCGCTCCGCATCTATTAGTGGAGGAGGCTAGCATTTCAATTTAATTTTCGTATTTACGTATTCTACCCTTAACTAAAAAAAATATATTTAGTTAAGGCACCAGGGATTTCTCTTTAAACTCAAAACTATGCTACCTCATACATACTATCTAATTCTTCAATCTTTCCTTTTCGACAGATTTTTCTCTGTGCGACAGGGTTTAGACATTTCCTCAATTCGAACAGTGTCAGCAGGGGTACCTCAAGGATCAATATTGGCTCCTTTACTTTACATTGTTTATACGCAAGACATGCCTACCACCTCCGAAACATTGACTACTACTTACGCTAGCCTCACTGAATTTACAAAATCACTTACTAAATTACCAAAATTGGTACTCACTTTGAAAATTAGACTGTCATGACAAATCACAACATATAACATTTACACTTCGACGCGACACATGCCAACCAGTTTATATCGGTGACAACCAAATTCCTCAGGCCTGCACAGTACGTTATCTCGAGCTGTTATTCGATAGAAGGATGACCTAGGACCCACATGTCAAAATGAAACGAAAGACTTTGAACAAACGACTGAAAATACAATACTCCTTTTTTTCCAAACTAAAATTGAAAATCAGACGAAAACTAAATAAATACACTCACCTACTCAAATCCATATGGACATACGCCTCACAAATTTACTTTTCTGCAAAAAAGACGCACTTACAAAAACTACAATAATTTCAATCCAAAATTTTAAGACTAATAACAGCAGCTCCCTGGCACGTAAAAAACAAAACTTTACATACCGACTTACAGCAACCGACTATCGACCAACACATACATACTCTCTACTTCCAATTTCATCTTAAACTACATGGACATCGCAATGGACTTATCAACGACATGGCCACAGCTGACATGCCCATCTGGAGGCGACTAAAGAGGAGCTGGATGAGAGATCTCCTTTCCTAAATTCTGTCGTTTGTTCATTTTGGCTAGTGTTGCCCAAAATCGGTCTTGGTCTTGCACTTTGCACTTGTTGGTTTTGGGCAACACTAGTGTAGCAAAGCACTTGTTATATAAAATTTTTCGCAAACCTTTTGATTGAAAAGTTTGAATTTTGTGGGTTTTAGACTTTTTCGCAATGTTAGTTAACCATAGCTCTATCCCGCAAGTCCATAAAAGTTTTATAATTAATTTGTAGATAATAAGTTTGCTGGTTAAAGATAATTTGGAACCTCTCTCAAGTAGCCTATATAACTGTCCAAATCGTTTGTGCAGTTGTTTTATTTCAGTGTCGTATGAGTTCTCCATAGTCAGTCCCTTGTCCAGGTAAAGTCACAAATAACGTATTTCTTCTGAAGTAGGGATAGGAAAATTATTAAAGAAAACCTGGGGGCATGTATCACAATTTAGTGTAACAACAACGAAAACGCTTTTCGTCAATCATCAATCATAATTTCATAATAATGATATCATCAAGATGTTCTTATATGAAAAGAAATGCGATAATTGAGTTTTTCTGAATTTTAAGGATTGCAGTATCGTCAGTTGTTAAAAATGTTACCACTAAAGTCTGGCCATGTTCTGGTAAGTCTGCCGTGAAAATACTGAAAAATAATGGTTCCAGTATACTGCCTTGAGGAACTCCAGCCCTAACACTGAAACTGCCCTAATATTGAAAATTAATAAAATATTGTTGACATATATTATTATTTTTTTACAGATGGAAAAAGGGATACCAAAGGAATCTGAGAGTGTACAAAGTCTTACTTATCATCTAGCTGGTTGTTTCGGAATCGTTGGTATGATATTTATTCATTTATTATTCAGTATATAGTTTAATATTTTTATAAGTTATATTGATTTTTATTTCTTTGTGAGTTATATTTTTTTTGTGTGTATCGAGGAAAAAGCTTCGGTCCATCACCTCTCATGATAATCGGTTGATAATTAGTTCAAATTTTATTAAATGAGAACTGATAAAAAAGTTTAGAGACTAATTAGATTTTCGACATAAAGGCATGGATTTTATTCGCATCTACCCTAATTCTTAAAACGGCTTATCAGTAAATGGCAGTTTATATGTATAGCTATCAGATCTAACTTTAAAATTTTGTTAAGTTAATATTACTATAGTCATCTTACATACCAAAGTCGTTTACGATCAAAATCTGTTATGATCATTTCAAGCCTTCTCAAACGTGTGATTTTTTATTTCTCATCAAACGTGAAGGCTTACTTAAATAAACAGAATATTGCTAATTTGTGTTAAGCCTGGTGGGTTTTGTTTCAAAGGAAAACCTAAAAAAGTTATATATATCACGTTAGCTGCGGCTACAGTCCCCGAGGTGCGATATACGTCCCGACTACCAAAATTATTGTTTCGAATTTTGTCGATCTTGCGAAGTCTCTAAAATGGTAATTTTTAAAAAAATTTGGACTGGAGTTGTACAGATGTAAAGATACGAGCGTAAATAATCATTATATCTGATAAAAAGTTTTCGGACGCCGGCTACCAATACCGTACCAGACTGATAAAAAATGATTTCCCTACATCATCATTCCTCGAGGTTTGATACATATTCCTGCCGTGGCGGGACAGTGCACATGCATGGTCTTGTCTTCTTCGGGCTTCCGTCGCTCAGCAGCTCTTGAGAGTTTATCTTAGAAGGTTCTCCTTGCTTATTCAACATGTATAATTAAATAATAAATAACATACATTTATATATAATGTATAAATCATATCTTGAAAATTATAATTACATGTAATATATAAACTTTTTCTCATTTCATTTTCAGTATTTATATCCCTAAAAATAACACTTGTTTACTGAAATAATGAGAAATAATAAAAAAACGGTCAACAGCACTCCTACGATTGCTGGCCATGAATGAGCACACAATCAACAGATAGAGACTTTTTTTCTATTAGCTTTACAGACCATGTTGATCTTATGCCGCCTTAATAAGCCTGCTGCATACCTGCCTGTCTTGGGATATTTCTTTCCATTTATCTGCTCGTACCTCTATAGCATGTTAGTTGATTCTATCTATCCATTTGCTTTTTGGCCTTCCACGTGGTGTTTTGTCATCTATTGTGGCATTCATTGTTAAGTAGAGGCTTCCAGAAGGATTGCTACGAGCTATATGCCACGCCTACCTTACCCTCCTTGCCTTCATATCATGAGGTATTAATTGACCAGTTTCTGTAAGCATTTCTTCATTGATCATTCTTCTTCTTGTGTTAGTAACCTGATCCCAGATACCTCGGCTGATCGAATTGAAAATAGGAGTGCTGGTTAGTAACTAGGTCTCACAGCCATATATTAGAACTGGCTTTGTCATAGCATTGTACATCCTTAGTTTGAGATTTAAATACCTGGAGAGGGAGAAGAAACTCTGTGCAAGTTATACGCTGGTCTATTTCTGCCCGTTTCATTGAGGTTATTGTGGAGATGAGGTATTTGAATATATCTACTCTCGAAAATGATTTGCCTTCTAAGCAGATCCTGTTATTGGGGATTTTCGAATTATTATCATATGTTTTGTTTTGTCTTCATTTACCTGTAAGCCGATCTATTCTTTTATCAGTGTTGTAGCAAATATCTCAACGTCCTCTTGATTACTTCCAAGGACAGCTATATCATCTGCGTATCCAAGTATTTTATGATTCATTCCGATGTGGACCCCTCCATTTTCCTGATATGTTGTTATTATTACCTTCTCCAGGGCTAAGTTGAACAACATCGGTGTTAGTCAATCTCTCTACCGTAACTCCTTTCGAACTTTGATGTCTTCAGATACTTCTGCTTGTATTAGGACTCTATATTTGGGACTCTACATACACACACACACACACACACACACATATATATTTCTATTCCATAATTTATCATAATTATGTTTGAATGAAATTTTAATATAGATACATCTAAATAAAAATGTATTATCGATATATTATAAATTATCGATATTTTCTAAACAACTCTAGTTATCGCCTGCATTCATTTATTCTATCTTAATTTATTTATTTAATTTTTAATGTAACTTTTTTTTCTTTTTTTAGACTTGATATTCGAATGAAGATTCTTTTCATCAACACAAAAGCATAGTGGACTACATTTTCAAAACATACATTGCCTGTATGTTTGAATAATCTGAAAGTTATTAAGTTGGATAGAAAACAAAACATTCTCCTGTTTTAAAAAAATATATAATTAATTGACGTAATGGCTTCGGTAAAAAATGGTGTTCTAGTTTACAATTCACATTCGATTGCATACGAGTATACTATCCAGGATAATAAGATTTCTTTCAAGGCCGAAGATATTGCGAAAATTTTAGGATTCGAAAATCCATCAGCCATCGAAAGATTATTAGATGTTGAAGACGGCTACACCATCCAAGGTTCACTTTTTATTTATGAACATGGGCTTTACGCATTAATAACAAAATCTAAAAATAGAGAACAAACTCTTCAATTTAAGAAATGGGCCATAAAAGAAATAGACAGAAAGAAAAATGAACAAATAAGACGTTATTCCCTCAGATTAAGAAATAAAGCCATAGAATCGCTAAAAAGAAAAAAAGATGAAATAATATACATATCTTCTTCTGAAAATTATGCCAAGCAACGAAGATTCAAGATTGGAGGTGTCGGTAGCCCGGAACGTCTTGATTCCAGGCTCGCCAACTATAATGGCAGGTCAGCTGAAGGAGACGAGTGGGGATATTGTCTGAAGATGAACGTGCCCAGCTTCCGGCAATTCGAGAGTCGGATATGGGACCATCTTAAAGACTTTAGGGACAAACCTAGAAAAGAAATTGTAAAAATGGATTATCAAGATTTGAAAGAAATAGTTACTTTGACGGCTGAAAATTACAATAAGGAAGTCGATTTTATGAACGATCGCAGACAAAGATATATAGAAAATGTGAACAACAACAGAGCGCAACCAGTTCCGGTGCCGATCGAAACGAAAGCGATAATTAAAAAAAAAGAATTGAAAAAATCTTATATAATTCTGCCTGATTACGACGAATTGAAAAGAGAAATCAAGAAATATATGAATGACGAGAAAGCTAATTCGAATACACCTTCTGTTGTTCTTCTAAGGACTGAAGTTCTTGAACATTGTACAAAGAAGTTTAAGAAGTATAATAAAAAGGTTGCGTGGAATATAATGAAAGAGATAGCCGATGAACAGAAGGAGTTTAGATTAATATATTATTCGTAATATGTTAATATAATATATTCGTAATATTTTTAAATCAGGGTCGGAACGTTACATTTTTCTTGATGAAGCAATCACTCACTATTTCAACAGTTTCGTTACAACATTTTAGGTAATATATATTTAAAAATAAGAGCTCATCGAGTAGGGTTTCGGATTTCAGGGCAGTATTGGCAGTTAATTATTTATTCTTGTCAGTCCTGTAAAGGATTGATTATAGAAGGAAATGAAGGGAAAGGGCACAATTTTTTACTTTAGGACTTTGTTTGAACCAGTAAGAAGGTAAACATTGTAAAAGTCCCCACTCCTAGGCGGTGGGTCAGATACCAAGGACGACTAGGTCACTTTTTTCGGCCTTTCGCTTATATATAGAAAATTTATCCGTCGCAGCGACAAAAACTTTCTATACAAAATTAAAGCTGATAAAATTTGCAATATGATTGGTTATATAACTTTTTCGCATCCTATATTAATTTCCGAGTTATCGGTCCTCAACTATCGTTAATAATGAAATAAAAAATTTTGTCTCATGTTTTTTGCTGTATTTGACAAGCTAACTTTTGATTGTCTCGTTCTATGATTAAGTCATAGGGAAGAAAGTTTTTAACTATCAAACTTCCTTCAAGATTATATTTAATTTTACAAGTTATCTTTAACATTTCAAAAGTTAGGGCAGTTATAACTTTATATGTCAATTCCTCGAATTGGCAGAAAAAATAATTTTTATATTATTCGTTATTATATTGCTCTAACTCTCTATACATGTAAATCTCTACGTATATTATATATATATATATATATATATATATATATATATATATATATATAATCAGATAGTTGTTCGAAGTTTGTATTTTCATTTAATACATTATCCGATTTCTTTAATCAAAAGTAATGACAGCTAAATCTCTCATTTCTATAAAAATTGAATTAATATCTTAAAACTTAATTTACTCGAAAAAATTAACCGGTTCCTCCTCCACATCTGGCTCCACCACCTCGGTGCGTGGACTTTTACTATGTTTAACTCCTTACTTCATCAAAGTTCTTAGTTATTTAAGGTTATGAAAAGTATTTGTTAAGTATCACAACAATTTCAGTTTGATATCGATATCATTTGACAATAGTGACATCGATATTTTGAATCGATATCAAAGACCCATATCGATATCTATAAGGGTTATCGGAATATGCCTGTTTGTGGTAGTAAAGGTTTTTTTTTTTAATATTTCAAAATAAATATATACATATCTTAATATAAACTCATTTTATTGACTAAATTATGGTCTATACAATTAAATATTTACCATTTTACTTTACACAATTTCACATGAAATTTGGCGCCCTATAAATTCTGCCTACTTTACCTCTCTCTAGTTCTGACCTTGTTTGATATAATTATCGTACCTGTTTGCACCAATTTTTTATTACTTGTTAATTATACAGTAGTTTATTATTTTTTTTTGGGTGGGGGCGGAAGGAGTTAACTAAGATTATGCCATAATTAAAAATAAATATTTTTACGTTTAATTGTTATACATATATGTTTGTTAATTTATCATTGTTTGTTAATATGATTATATGTTAACCTTCTAAATTTCAATAAGCTCTACTTATTCAGTTACATGATTATTCAAATTATCATATATTATAATATTATTTTATTATAATATATCGTCGGTTTATTGAATAAGTCTCTAAGTATATTTTTCATAGATTTAAATTTTTATGTTTTTATATAAGTTTTAATTTCGACTTTATTTATGTATACAAAAACGTAATAAGTGGACCAAAATGACACAAACACTTTTATATATGAAATATAGTTACATTAAGTACAAATATTGTTAATTGTAATATAATAATGTCTTCTGTTTCTTTATTTTATATATATTTACCAATATATTCTATATATTTATGTTTTTTCATTTGGTTTATATTGCTCACATGTATTTGTATTTAATTTTTATCTCATATAGTATATTCACATTTCCAAATTTCAAGGGTGTATACTTAGTCAATTTTCCAATAGTTCTAATTACGTATCAGTAGTTATATTATTTTTATAAAAATTATGTCGAAAAATTATTTTCTTAATAAAAAAAAATCCCCTATATGCTAAAATCGGATTTCAATTCAATAATGCCACTCTGTTACGATCTGTATGGTCAAGCTATATTTTTATTTTTAGTCTGTATGCATGTATTTACATATTATTTTTAAAGTTGTATATACCTATCTTCACCTGATCCAAAGAAAAATTATATAGTATCTTATGTTTTTTTATTTTTAAAATTATTTACATTATCCATGTTAACATATATCTATGTAATGTATTTTATATATTCATGTTTCTTGTTTTATTTATCTCGCTTATCTCTATTTATTTTTACATGTAATATTATATAGTATGTGATAATGTTCACATTTGCAAATTTCAAGTGTGTAGATATGCTTAGTCGATTACTCAATAGTTTTAAATATGTATTATTATTTTTATCAATATATTATTTCCTTATATTTACTTGTGTCAAAAAAGTGTAATCCTGTAGTACCTTATGTTTAATTATTTGCAATATTCATGTTTATACATATATGTACTTAATACATTCTGTTTTGTGTTTTTATTTATATCGCTTATACTTATTTATATTTACATGTACTCTTTTATGTAAATATGTTCACATTTACAAATTTCAAGTGTCTATACTTTGTCAATTTCCGATTATTTGCAATTAGGTGAGTTTATTTGTACTATCCAAAAAAATAATATCCATAAAATTTATTGAAACTATGTTACATATGAAAATCGTACGACAAAATGTCAGTCTGTTTTCTTTTATGATCTATTTTGTTTTTTATTTCTATTTTTATTTTTATTATCTATGCTTTTATTTAGGCATTACTTAATGTATATACTCATGTTATATACTGTACTTATAACATAATATATAATATAATATATGATTATATCAAGAAATACTCATCTTTTTAATAGTCGCATAGGTTAGCCCATTAGACACAAATAAAGAGAGGAAAAATAGCTTTATGGCGATACCCATAACAATTCACCCAATAGCACTTAACATACTATTCACATAATAGTATTTTCCGTTTCTTTTCTTTTTTTTTCTAATTACTTACTTTCTCCATACTTAGATATATTTACTCAATATATTCTCTAACGTTTACGTTTTTTTTTTTTATGCTGCTTATATGTGTTTTTATTTAATTTTTATCTTATCTCCTTGCCGCTCAAATACTTCGACAACATTTCCCACCCCCTCGGACGAGATGATGGCTCCTGGGCAGCATCTGAAGAAGATAAAGCTGAGGAGTTCGCCATTCACCTATCCAATACATTTATTCCCCATCCGGAATCCCATCCTGCCCACACCGCAACAGTAGAAGAACCCCTTACATCACCAATCCCACTTTCCTTGCCCCCAAAAGCTATTCATCCTTCCGAAGTGAAATTTCAATTAAAAAACTAATCCCCCGTAAAGCTCCTGGACATGATCTCCTTACCCCTCAAATCCTTCGACAACTTCCATCCAAAGCAGTCATATTCTTTACAAATATCTACAATTGTATCTTACGTACCACCCACTTTCCTCTGTTATGGAAACATATTTCTTCTATTACCCTTTCCTCAAAACCAGGCAAACCTTCCAACAGCTTGATATCCTATAGACCAATTAGTCTGCTCCTAATCCTTCCAAAAATCTTGGAAAAGATCCTTTTGGAACGAATCCTACCCTTAAAAAATCCCAAAATCTTCCTTCCCATCAGTTTCGTTTTCGCTCATAACACTGTTCAACAAGGACTCCGAGTTGTTGATCATATTTCCTCAGCCCTAGAAAACAAAGAATACTGTTCGGGTGCATTTCAGGACATTGCACAGGCTTTTGACCGGGTATGGCACCCCGGGCTGCTCTACAAGCTAAAAATCCATGTCCTTCAATCCTTGTACCTAATCCTTCGATCCTACTTCTCCGACCGTTCCTAAAGAGTACGCTGTGGAACAGCCTTTTTCGATATTGATCCTAACAAAGCCGGTGTTCCCCAGGGCAGCGTCTTGGTCCCGTGCTTTACGTTCTCTTTACTGCTGACGTCCTGCTGGTTCCGATACCTTCCTGGCAACATTTGCTGATGATGCCGCCATCCTATTACCCAACTCAGATCCCAAAATAGCATCCTTAAATCTGCAAAGCCACCTCTCCCTGATTGAACACTGGTACAATAAATGGCACAGTCATAATACGGCCAACTATACAGACTTCTAAACATAAAATCTAAACTTTCTATTGAAAACCAATTATTTATCTACAAAACAATCCTGAAACCTATGTGGACATATGGACTTGAATTGTGGGGGACAGCAAAATTTTCTAACGTCAAACGCATTCAATCATTTCAATCTAAAGTCCTTCGAATAATAGTTGATGCTCCATTCTATGTAACAAACAATACCTTACACCATGATCTTAATATCCATCCTATTTGTCCTAGACCTTATTCCAGAAAAAATCTCTAAACTTCACCAGAACCTTACCCATCATCCAAATCCCCTTGCATAATCCCTATTCAGCATCACCAATCGAAGTTTGAAGCGACAGTGGCCCAGAGAACTTTTGTGAATAGGCATATATTGAAGTTTTGGCAATGACCAGATTCTCTACTCAAGCCATGTATGTGTGGTTGTAGAGCCTCTCCTCGGCTTCTACTGGTCTTTAGTACCAGTAATGTGGTTGAGTGGGGGGCGCTGGGATCTTCTAGAGTCCTGCCTTCCTTCCATGAGTGGGGAGAAATGCTTGGCTCGGAGATTTTGGGTGAATGATTTGTTTTTTTTAGACATTGTATAGATGCATGCGGGTATTTCTGTAGTTAGTTTCATTAGCTTAGTTTCTTTTAGTTTATATACATTTATTTTTAGGATTATTATTGTTCTTAATTATTTATTGTGAATGTGCTCTTTGAACACTATTATAAATGTTCTTAATTGTGACAGATTGTAATATCTCTTAATAAATATGTTTAAAAAAAAATGTTTATCTTATGTAGTATATGATTATATCCACACTTTTTCAAATTTCAAATGTGTATGCTTAGTCAATTACTCAGTAGTTCTAATTAAATACCATTAGTCTTTAATATTTCTAAATAAG